GTCACCAAAGCCTAATAAAGCGAGAGTATAGCTTCGAATTGCACATTCAACCTCAGTAGGACTCGACAAGTCTTCCTTGCCTTGTCACAGTCAGTTGTTTATTGAACTATAGGGGCCCTGTCATGTTAATTCTAATTTCATTCCGTATCAAATACATCTCTTTCTGACAATGAAGCCAGCATTGGAGAATCGAGGGTGGTAGAAAGATACTGGGAAAGTGGGTTGAGATTGTTCATGTGAGGATGTTAATGAAGAGGATACGATGGTGGTTGGTGAGCTCAACCAACATCTGGTGAAACAAGATGTTGGTAGGTGAACGAGAAGGTGATTATGAGGCTAATTCACATAGCGTTTTTCTATGTTCTACTTTCTTATCTGGTATGTAATCCATTAGAGAGCAGGTGTGCCGTCTTTCACCTTTTCGTTGTCCTCTTCATCCCTTTCCTTTCTCCTCTTTCTGCATTGTTGATTTTGTACAAATTGAACTCTTGACAGAAGAAAACCTTCTTATAAGCACAGGGTGTTGCTGTAAGTTGGAACTCCTCTCCATTAGGTTGAAATACCAATTTGGTCCCTCAATTTTCAGTTTTGTATCAAAATTATCTCTTAACTTTAAAATTATCAAAAGTATCCCTAAACTTTAATTTTCAATACTAAAAAAGTCATTTTTGTTAATACAAGTGTTATGTAACTCATTGTTTTATCATGAAATTAGTTTTTTTAAAATATTAATAATATATAAAATAAAATAATTATATATTATCATCATGGTGTATGTTTATTTATACATTAAATTAATATATAAAAAAAGTTAAAAGATCAAATTAGTATTTGTAATCAAATTTCAAGGATTAAGTTGGTTTTTTTCTTTAAAGTTTAAGGACCAAGTTAGTACTATCTTTGAAGTTTGAGAACTATTTTGGTATCAAAAATTAAAGTTTTAGGACAATTTTGGTACTTTTTAAAGTTGAGGGATATTTTTGATATAAATTTAAAATTTAAGGGGCCAAATTGTTATTTTAACCTGTCCATTATTTAACTAGAATCTTGTCCATTTCTTAACAAAATTGGAGTCTCTAACGTAGAAAAAAAGTGTGGAAGTTTCTTTTATCCATTATCAATAAGGTCCCTAGGAAGGAAGGGAAAATGACCTATGTCGAAAAGGGAAAAGAACCAAGGAATAAGGAAGGGAAGGAAAGAATTAGTACTTTTCCTTTATTAAAAGAAATCCTTTTATAATTTTTATGAGTTTTGGCTATGAATTGCAACGAAAGAGAGTAAGGGTGATTTTAAAATCTATAAAAGTTATGGGGCTAAATATTATATATCAAATATTTTGTCTTGAAATGAAAATCATTTCCATTTGCCCAATACATTTTTAAAAATTTCTATTTTCTACTGAACATGAAAAGGAAAAATATTTTTTGGGGAAGGAAAAGAAAAATAGAAAATGAAAAAAAAAAATTTATCTTGCCAAACAAATACTTAGTACTCTCCGTTTTCCTATGAGGTCATTTTGATGGAAGACTGAATTACAGTGTCCCACTTCAAATTCATATCAAAATCACAAGATGATGATCTTGATGGCTAACGGCATTACCTGCTTGCAGGTGAAGAAACCATTACTTGGGATGTGCGTTGATTTCTTGAAAAGCACGCAGGGCTAGTTTCCTTCGATTAGAAAAAGGATAAAAGGAATCAACTATGAGCTCGCATTGTCATAGCTCATAGGATGCAAAATGCAAAGTGGCAGCAGAAATTTCACCCTTCTTTTAAAAAATAAAAAATAAAAAATAAAACTGTTCTATAATTTTCACCCATTTTATTATTTGACAACATTATTCAACTATCTCGTCATTGTTTAGGAAAAAATTAGTCTTAATATACATGAAAACTTATCTAGGGTCAATTTGACCATAAATATTAAATAAATAAAAAAATCTCATATACATGTAATCTCCAATCTCAAGTGGATCTTTTTACTTAATTACCTATATCCATCATGGATATAATTTAGAATTGTTATTAATGCTATAGATGGTACCTTTGTCTTTAGGCTATAGTGCCATAACAAAGAGATTTAGTTGTAGTGTCTTTAATTTTAATTTTCATAAAATATCTATATTTCATCTGAAAAATCTCACAAACATGGTTATTTGAGATGTTTCCTTTTGGTTTGGACAGTAAAGATATTTCTTGATCAACTTCCACCCACTCTAAAACTAATATTTCCTCAGTCGGATTCATTGAAGAAAAATAACTCCTTTCTTGATATTAAGAACATATTTTAAATTGGTCAAAACCATTGAAGGAAATTAAATTTTCTTAGTTAAAACGCCAATTTAGTTCCTGAACTATTATACGAACCCTCGATTTGGTCCTTAAACTATTTTACAGACCTCAATTTAGTCTTTACTGTTTACTAATTTAACCCCAAGTTAGTCTTTCTATACAAACAACAGTTGACGTGTCCATTACTTAATAACAAAAAACAATAACTTAATGGTCACATGCCACGTTAATAATGAGACATGTAAGCTATTTTTTGTGTAGAAGGACCAATTTGAGGTAAATTGGTAAACAATATGAACTAAATTGGGGATCTGTATAATAATTTAGGGACCAAATTGGAGATTTTTTAGTTTAAAAACCAAATTGAAGGTTCGTACAATAATTCAAGAACCAAATTGGAGATTTTACCGATTTTCTTAACAACTTGGTGTTTGCCCAAGATTTAGAAATCCCTATTAATTTAATAAATCTAATTTTTTTTATACATTAGATGGTTAACTACTTGGCAACATAAAGGTTTGAACTTTTGATTTTAGGGTGATGTTATTG